CAACAGCTAAGTGTAAAATTTAAGACTTATAAATTTTTAGTAACTTGACAATGCTTTCCTAGTTCGAATTAACTATGCGCGCCACAGGTGGCGGTACTACCAACTACGATACTTTTAAATTGACTGTTAAATGCTTGTTCGATGAACAACTTGCTAGTGTTATGTCTGTTTGTTTGTGCTCAAAGTACACTCAGGTCTTTTTTACACGGGGGATACATACCGTGTAAAAAAAAACCGTGTAAAAAAAACCTACGAGATTTTAATTTTTCACATGGTTTTTAAAAAATCGGATTTTGATGCCTTTTTTAATTATAGCATGCTATGGTACATATGTACATATTTTAAAAATTTCTGTATTTACACCAAAAATTGTGATTTTTTTCTAAGTATGTCATTCGATTACCTATAGCTTGAAACGGATAATGTGATTGGAATCAAGTCGATAGGTTGTACCGTTGTCGAGAAATCGTTAAAAACGTACCGTGTAAATCGCGAAAAACCGTGTAAAAATAACCGCGTAAAAAAAAAACCGTGTAAAAAAGACTTCAGTGTACTGTATTTTGTTCAAATATACAACATTTCTACAACTGCATATTACGAAGTTATAGCAATCTAACGAAAACAAAAATTACGATGAGCACTTTACACTCTATATATTCGTTCCATTATTTTCATTCAAAATTCACGTACAAATTACGTGGAAAGCATTTTAAACAAAACGGAATATTACGTGAAAGTTACCAGTTTTCCAGTAGTTTTCACCCCAATTTCACGTAACCAGTACGTGGAAATCAGGTCTTATTTACCCGGCAAATACCGTAGATAATCGAAGCAGAGCAATTCTCTACAGATTGACGAATTTTTTATTTTTTTTTAATTTGTCGGCTTCGATTTTGATGAAAATTTGCACAGTTGTTCTTTTTTAGTAAAGATGCCAATTCGTGTTATCAGTTTTTCAAATTGAATCACGACTACTTTTCTAACAGGGCCTGTGTAAAAATAGTACTAATGAGTTAAAAAATTTATATTGCTGAAACGCTTTGTTCGATTAATTTGGTGTCTTGAGCAAAGTTGTAGATATTATTATGGCAATAATGTTAAAAATATACACTGTAAAAAAATTCGTTTGTTTCAATGAAAAAAAAAATATATATTTCTTATTAAAAAAATTAATTTCTCAAAAACAAAAAAGTTATGATTTTTTGAAAATTTCACGATTTTTACATTTACATTAAAAACACATGTTTTTCAACCGTGTATATTTTTTCAAGAATTGCATTTTAATTTTGCACAACTTTCTCGAAGACACCAATGCAATCAAGCAAGCCGTTTTTGCAATATAGATATGTTTATTTCATTAGTGTTTTTCTACACAGGCCCTATTGAAAAGTTAGGATTCATTACATCTGATACCATGAAAAGGTATCGTTACTAACAAAACTAAAAAATTCATTTGATGAATATTGAGCTAGAACTAAATAAAAGTGAAATGATGCTCAAACTAGCGATTAATTTTCTTTTTTATTCATTGTCTTCAATTTTGCATAGTTGTATCAGTGATCTTAACGGTAATAAGTCAAATACTCAACACTGTAGTAGTGAACACCAAAAACATCTGTCTGTACCTAATGTAGAAATTATACCTATCGATCTGATACTTAAATGAGTTTGAATGGTGAAAACAAGCAGTTGATCACAAAGATTGCTTTTTACCGCATACATCTTAAAAAGTTATCATAGGAAATAAGTGTAACACCATTTGGTTAAAAGGTAAGCATAACCTTCAGTTGTATTTCAATGAAATCATTTTTAAAGATTATTATTTTTAATTTTTTTAATACAGGAAGCAACATGAGTGAACGAGCATGTTTTATCAGGTGCATTCGGCCGTTCGAGGAAGTCAAGTGCTCGAAAGGGCTGAGGAATATTTCGAATATTACCATCCAGAAATTAAAATCGATTGGATATTCTGAAGCATCAGGATTGAATACTGGTTTTCGCATTTGCACGTCCTGTCGTCTTCGTGTTGATAAACAAGCTGTTTTCATCTCAAACGAGGAACAGCATGTTGCCGGAAGCTCAAAGATGCCAACTACAGTGATAGTACCTGTCGTGCCGAGCTGTGAAAGCCTTACAACTGTACCATCAATGACATCAGTTACTTCAGTTCAATCGTACCAAGAATTTACTCAACCAGTCAACACCGAGGCATTGCAGGAATCCAGGTATCACCGATAGATGTGGGAAAACTCAACTACATCCACTACCCCGAAAAGAAGCACCGTGAAATCAACGAAGGTATTAGAAAGAATCTTTTCAACTTCGAGCCTGAGGCTGACGAAGTGAATGAACTCAAAGAAGTTTTAGAAAACATGAAGGAAAAGTTTTCCAATGCATCCACTGCAAGAAGTGAAAAATTATTAATTTTATCGTTATTGCCTTATTCATGGTCAACACAAAAAGTTATGGATCAATTTAATGCTAGTAGATATATTGCAACAGAGGCTAAGTTGATAAAGGAAGGTCATTCGTCAAAAACCGCAAAATATGGCACAGCCTTAAGTGATGAAACAAAATTGGCAGTCATAAATTTTTTTGAAGATGATGATATAAGCCGGGCAATGCCTGGTCAAAAAGATTATGTGTCTGTGCAGAAAGAAGGAAAACGACAAGCCATTCAAAAAAGATTACTAATGATGACTTTGAGAGAAGCTTATAAACGATTCAATGAAATTCACTGCAATGTAAAAATTGGATTCTCTTCATTTGCAAAACTCCGCCCTAAGCAATGTGAACTTTTAACCAGCTCTGGAACCCACAATGTTTGCGTGTGCACAACGCATGAAATCATCAATCTAATTTTACACAGTTTGAAAAAACTTAACCATTTAAATGATGTAAAAACGTTCACTGACAGCCTACTTTGTGAAAACAAGACAACATATTGCTATCTACGGTGTTGTGAAGATTGTCCAGACTCTTCCGCATTAGAAAACATTTTATTAAAACAATTAGAGGAAAAATGCATTGATCAGCTTTCATTTGAACAGTGGGTTACCACGGATAGATGTGATTTAGAAACTATTGTAAAGCCTGCAGACGAGTTTGTTTCATTTTTCTGCTTGAAATTGACAAGTTTGATACAACATGATTTCATAAAAACACAGCAATCTAATTTTTTGAAAACTACACGAAATAATTTGCAAGAAGGTGAATTTTTAGTTACTTGCGATTTTTCCGAAAACTACAGCTTTGTGTTACAGGATGAAGTTCAGTCTCATCACTGGAATGTCCAACAAGCTAGCATTCATCCATTTGTTATATATTTTAGAGAAAATATGCAAGTTAAACATTTAAGTTTTATTATAATTTCTGAAGAGTTAAGGCATGACTCAGTGGCTGTTAACTTATTTATTTCTAAAATGATAAGTTTTTTACGCATTAACCAAAGTAAAAATATCAACAAGATTTATTTTATGTCCGATGGAGCCGCGTCACAGTACAAGAACCGGAAAAATTTTGCTAGCCTTTGTAAATTTAAATCAAAGTATGGAATTGAAGCCGAATGGCATTTCTTTGCAACATCACATGGGAAAGGTCCTTGTGACGCTATTGGAACGTATGGCTACTAGAGCAAGTTTGGCCAAAGAACGTGAACATCCAATAAAAAATGCAAGAGTATAAAGCTTGGGCAAATAATCGAAAAGAAGAAGAATTAACAAAATTATCTTTTAGTTTTGCCACAACAGAGGAATACGAATGTATGGCTTCACACCTCAACGAGCAATATAATAATGCAAAAATAATTCAAGCAACTCAAAAGTTTCATTCTTTCATTCCTGTTTCAGAAAATAAAATTAAAGCCAAACGTTACTCAAACTGTAATGATAATGATGCCAAAATATTCGATGTATTTAAGAAGTGATGTAAATAAAAATAGAAAGTAAGTGTATTACAATGAAAATAAATTATGTATCATTTGTCCATAAGGTTTTCGAATAAAAGAAAAGTAAAAAAGAGCAGATAAATGTATTTTGTGGATTTAAGTTGAGATTTTAAAATAAAAAAGTAGTCGGGATTCGCTATTACAAATTGTAATAGCGAACCCCGACTACTTTTCCGATAGGGCCTGTGTAGAAAAGCGCTTATAAAATAAACATTTTAATGCATTGCAAAAACGGCTTGCTTGATTGCTATGGTGTCTTCGGAAAAGTTGTGCAAAATTAAAATGCAATTCTTGAAAAAATATACACGGTTAAAAAAAATGTGTTTTCAATGAAAATGTAAAAATCGTAAAATATTAAAAAAACCATAACTTTTTTGTTTTTGAGTTTACCATCACCAAACTTTGCCAGTTAGTAGCAAACATTATGAGCTTCAATGAGGTTTATGTACTTTTTGAGAAATTAACTTTTTTAATAATAAATATAATTTTTTTCATTGATACAAACGAAATTTTTTAGAGTGTATATTTTTTACACAATTGCCAAAATAATAATATCTACAACTTTGCTCTAGATCCCAAATCAATCGAACAAAGCGTTTCGGAAATATATATTTTTAAACTCATTATTACTATTTTTACACAGGCCCTTTTCAAAAAGTAGTCGTAATTCAATATGAAAAACTGAGAGCACAAAATGGCGCCTTTACTAAAAAGGAACAACTGTGCAAAGTTTCAGCGTAATTGGAAATGATCGGTCAGGATCGATTTGCGAACCTTCGTGGAATGCCTCAGCAGTAAATCGGACGTGAACATTTTTCAGAGTGTGAGTAGCTACGCATAGTCATTGAGCTATGCTCATCTAACTAAAAAAAAAAAAAACACGAACAGCAGTAAATTGACAACATTCGATAAAGAAAGAAAAGGGAATTTGGCATGTCAGGAGAAAAAAACCCATCCTTAGCCATTAGCAGATAAATATTCACCATAACTGTTCAACACTGTACACCTCCGAAGACTCATGAATAAAAAAATAAAAATAATATGTCCTACTTACCCTTTGCTGCTACTATCGGCCACAGGAATCGTGGCCGCTAGGCAGTACTCCTCGTCCAGCTCCTCGTCCAAACCCTCGTCTGTAGGTTGGCTGAATCCAAGCAGAGACTCGCTCTCCTGCATCGCGAGACTGTTGGCCTTCAGCTTAACGGCCTCCAATTTAGCCGCATCCCATTTGCCTACTTCAACCCGATTTTCCTTGTTGGAAGATGGGGAAATATTCGCATCGTCCATGTTCCGGTTCTCCTCGCTCTCCTCCTGATTGATGATTTGCTTAGCCAGAATAGACTGCCGGTAGGTACTGTTCACTCTGGGAAGGAAATGTTTGCTCATTTCCGGATCTTCATCCCCTAGACTGGTGAGAGAATCTTTGGCAGCCAGCGGTTGCGTCTGCATGTCGTAGGCATCGGTTGGTGATCGTGGCGGCGAATGGACGACGATGTCCAACGGGATCGTATCATTTTGATCGTCTTCCTGGGGAAGCGGTTGTGTTTGGAGATCGTACATGTCCTTGGGTTTGTCGATCGGTAGTGGTTGCGTGGCCATGGTGAATGGATCCATTTCTGGAGGTTTTTTCGGTTGGTTAGAACAAGAAGACTTCCGTTTGATCTTACTGGTGGAGGAAGCCGGTGGAAGCTCCAAGGGTATCGTGTCATTTGGAGATTGTGGAAGCAATTGTGTCTGTAGATCGTAGATTTCGTCCGGTTCGTCCACCGGGAGGGGTTGTGTGGCCATTTCGAACGGATTCAGATCTATTTGCTTGTTGATTTTGAAAGATATATTCATGGTCGATTTTAAATTGACCAAACCGACGGTTAGCTTTCGTAGAGATTTTGCCGCTTTTATGTCTTCGGTGGGCATTTGCTGCGTGAGTAGATCGTATGCGGAAACTGACGGCACTTTGAATCCCTGTGGGTTTGAATTAACCGAGCCAACGGCTAGCATTTTCTGCGTGGGTAGATCGTATGTGGAAACTGACGGCACTGCTTCTGGCTCCCCTGAAATTGGCTGCGTTGCCAAATCGTACGGATCGATTGCCCCTTCCTGGTTGAGTGAAATTTCCGCTTCGTCGTTTTCGTTCTCTCCACTTGGCTGTTCAAAATTCAAATCAGGCGTAACCGACTGTTCTCGGTGCTCTCCCACTTCGTCCGCCACTTTAGCCAACGACAGCCTGGTGGCATCTGCTGTTGAATCTTTTTGCTGTGGAGTTATCCGATCGAATTCCAAATCCGGAGTGATCGAATCTTCGCGAGGTACTTCCGTAAGCAAGGTATCTAACATTGGGTTTAGTGCCGCCGTTGGTTTGTCGAATGCCAGCTCTGGCGTTACCGACCCATCACGATCCTTGATCGGATCTGCTGCATTCTTAGTCTCGTTCCACTCGATTTTACTCAGATCATCATCGGTGTCCTCGGCTGGTATCCTTCCGTGGAATGAAATCGAATCAACGGATCGATCGGGAATAATCGACTTTCGCTGGTCGGCTTTGGCGCTATTCCGTTTGTACGATTCATCCAAATTATGTAACAGGTTCTGAGATTGCTCCACGTACGGATTGTTAAACATACCGTCTCCAGTATTCTCGTCATCTTGGGTTTCGAATCTTAGAAAGTCATCGTCCTTATCACCCTGACCGATGGTGTTTGCAATGGGATCGATGATCTGTTCAGTAATCGAATGCTGCTGCTGCTCTTGGGTTTCCGGTATGTAAAACATATCATCATCGTCGTCTTCGGTCGTGACGTTACCACCAGTTCGGCTATCATTTGCCCGTTGCAGGGTGGAGGAATTCGCGCTAGTGGTGTTCATTTGCTGCGTGGCAGGAATCAAGAAGCTGGCATTCTCAAGGATTGCAGGACTGCCGCTGGTGCCGTTGCTGGGTGTGCAGGAGATACTCAACTGTTGCAGTTTTTTCGCTTCCGTTCGGGATTTGATTTGAGGTGGTTCCTGATGTAAAATATGTAAATGAAAATGGATGCTTACGGATGCGAGACAAGTTCAAACTAGGTACCTCCAAGCTGCAATCGACAATGTCGGTGGAGTCATCATCGGCGAAGAAGGACATTGACCGCTTCCTAGATCTTGGGTGAGAGCTTTCCAACCGGGCTTTGAACGATCCTAAGAGAATTGTACTTTCCAGGGTGGCTTTGTTCCATTCGAGGGGTCGGATTTCTCTGGGCATTGCATCGGCATCGTTGGCCAATTGCGTACCGCTATGGGAACACAGATCCATTACGTGTAGGTCCTCTGTTGCTGCGGACCATCGCAGGGCTGCGTGTTTAGGGCATATGGACTGTGCGAAAATTAATAAAATTTATTAGAATTACATTGTAGGGTAGAGTGAGGCAAAGTAAGTATTATGCTAAATGTGTTCTTATACGATTCGCGAAAAACAAAGGATGTTGAAGCAGAGCAACAAACGTTTAATTCTCTTCCACTAATAATTGTGGGGGTCTAATGATGATCCAGAGAACACAGGATGGATGCACAGAATATTTAACCGGTGGTGCGCAGGAACGGGATCGATTGAGTGAGTGAAATTTCGATCGATGAAGTTCTGCGATCATTCCATAAAAATCCTCTGCAATTCCACGAAATTTAAGAATTACTAACTGAAGGATTCTAAGAGCAACTACAAAGTTCCCTGAAGAACTTTCTAACCTGACAAACTCGAAGTTCACTGCACTTCAAAGTTCCCTAAACCTGTCTCCTGAAGGGCTACCCCGTTTTTCGTAAAGGTCATTTGGCTTAACTGGCGTTTACCATACAACAATGGAAACGTTTTAGTGCGTTGTAATAACGCATGCTTAGAAACATGATGAAATGGGATACAGTGATATCACTGAGGTTCCTTCCGGCTAGTAGCGGCAGCTTGCTGAATCCGGTCAAAACTTCACAAGGGACCGTGTGCCTTAATTAACGGTAGAATGCGTTTTTCCTGGGATACTTGTGTGTACACCTTCGAGTCTTGTTTGTGACGAAAACTTGGGCTTTTCATTCGCGGCTGCAAATCCCTTACCAGATCATGAGTTTCTGAGCGACAACTCCTCGTATCGTGGCCCGGGAAGCTCCCCAAAATCAATTATCACGTACGTTTCGTCGTTCATAAGCAAGCATCCTTGGTACTTCGGTACTGTATGTATGTAGTACTACTGGTCGTACAACTCCCGAGCTCGTGCTATGGCCACTAGGTTTTACTTCATCGTCCTGTTTGGTTGCTTACTGGCGAAATCACAATTCGAGGTTCTTGGGTTCGCCCTGATTGTTCTCAATGTCTTCCAACATAGCTGCCGGTCGTAAGTTCCACTACGACGCTTACAAAATTTCATGGCCAATTTCAACATCTCAGTGCCAACATTTCAAAAGGGCGTAATTGCTTTTGTGAACAATGACTTTAGCCATCAATTTCTCGCGAATGAAATCTTACCTCTCCAAAATTACAATGCTAGCTGGTAGAGGAAACATTCCTCTACCTGCTGGTGTCATTATTTTTCATGAGTGAGCTTTTATTCGCGAGAAATCGACGGCTAAAGCCATTGTTTACAAATGCAATTACGCCCCTTTGAAATGTTGGCACTGATCTAATCTAATACAAACGCAGCCAGTGTCAACATTGATGTTTGCAGCATATCTGAGATAATATCATATTATGACACAAACATTAAAACGGTCAGGTGTTGCATTTGCCGCAAAGATGATTCTGTCAAGGGGTGATCACTCTACACACTTATTTTGCGCCAACATTTTTCTCAGTGTCCCTCAGTGTGCCGCAGCTGTATCGGCAGTGCCAAGAAGTCATTAAACTGACTTTTGTTTGCTTGTGAATAATGCCTTGTTTGGCAACCCGGTATTTTAACAGCTCTTGTTTTTGTTTTGATTTACAATGTTTTCAAAAACATCCATCTTCGGCGGAAGGCCGACCCCGCACAACGAACGTCAATAATTAGAGAACTGGAAACCAACACCGGCCGGAACACACGTCGGACTGATGAAGGACGCACCGCTGACCCGAAATGGACCAGTCAACATTCATTCAACCCGCACAGCAACAGGGCGCAGTGATGGCCTACGGACTCGATAACAACACAGCCAACACCGATAAGCTGGTCAATCTGTCCTTCCTGCCACGCTCGTTTTGTTTTACTCTAAAGTGAGTAACTTCTAATCAGTTTGATATTTTTATCCGAAATGTCAAAAACTGAGTAACATTTATTTAGCAAACTGAGGAACATTAACTCTGTTTATCGTAAATTAATGGTTACTCACCTTTGAGTAATCCACAACAAAAATTACTCATCGTTCTTTTGCCAAAGATTTATAAAATTATCCCTTTTGCGTCAAACTGTAATAATTAACAAGTGTGGAATTCTCGTCGAAGAACTGCATTTCCATCGTTGCAACTTCTTCTGAAACCAACGATTATCAGTACGAGGTCAAATTCTCCGTCAAATTTCCCCGGGTCCGAAACCATGTCCCCTGACTAAACAATCGGCATCGACATCAAAACCGGAAGACCCCGTCTATTTTGGTTAGAAACGATGGTTACCAATTCCAGAAGCAGCGTTCGTGTACTCGTAGTATCCGGAGCAATTCCGTCACTAGCATGTTTGAAGTGTTGGTAGGTGTAGGTCTGATTCTGTGATCGAGGAAATGTTGATAGATTGAATTAAGTTTAATTTCAGGAGAGCGAAACATCCCATGTTGACGAGAGGGCTGATGATCACATGATCTTCCATCCAAATCACAAAAAATATTGCAATGTTATTGTATTGCAATGTTATTGTATTGCAATGTTATTATATTTTAATTAATATGCTGTTTTTCCAATGACAATTCAAATGACTCATTTTATAAACTGATCAATTATACAAGAACTGTGTAATATTTTCTCAGTTCCGTTAATTTTCTTAAAATTAGAACTGAGTAGAAGTTACTCTAAATTTGACAGATGCATCCATTACAGCAGAAGTGCGGTTTACATCTCACTGCAGCCTGAAAAATTATCGAGAAAATCTACCCAAGAAAAAAAATTGACTAAGTCCACGTAAACAGTACCACTGTCATCAAATTGAGGTTAACCCCGACGGTGCAAAACCTAATAAGCATTTAGATTGACAGCCGAAGTCCCTCCTTTTTTACAAATTCTGCTCAGAATTTTCCCCCGTTACATGTTGGATGCGATTTGGCAGAAGTATTTTGCAAACGACATCCCTTTCCGCTGCTTTCCCTTTTCCTCCGACCAGCTCGACTATTTGGCAGCAACTTTTTTTTTAAAGCAGTAAAAATTACATTTATTTGTTGATTCATTATGTTTTAACATTGGTTTTGCAGTACAATTGATTAGCCTTTGGCTCTTCATCTTTGTTTGGTTAAATTGATTATTCTAGTATGACGATTCCATTTAGTGCTAATTTACAGAATACCATCTAAAGGGTTTGTTGAGTTTGAGTTAAAAAAAATTTGATTTTGAGTATTTGGCAGCAACTGTTTGTGGAAGCGATTTGGCAGAATTTCGGCTGCTCTACCTCTTCCACTATTCTAACGTAATCAGTTTTCACCGAGTTCCGATCAGATCGACCGCAACGTTGAATGATTGTGCGGCTTCGGCTTGTGTCGTTAGGGATCAACTTTCTGATGGCTATGTTAGGATTGAGCACCTGGCGGTTGAGGAAAATGTATGGGAAATTTGAATATTTCCATATTTCTTTTTTGTTAACTATTTAAATATTTAACAATTGTAATGTGTGACATACCACACAAATTATTTTATAACCCTGGTGAATCAATCGACATACAAATCATCAAAATCTATTTTTTTTATTCTTTATTTAAGATATTTTTAGTCATAGGCTAGTTCATCTTTTATCAAAATCTATTGATTATTGGCCATGTTATTAGTATTTAAAGTCAGACCAATTTTCGTCCCATTTCCCTGAATTGGCACCCTTTCCGAAAGACGTAGTCCTATGTAAAAAAAAACACAATCCGGATTAAAGCCATGATACTCTGCTTATTAAGCAAAAACGATCCCTCCAGGGTCATCGAGCTTCTAAAAACCACAACACTCCACGACATAATATGATTAAGTTTTCGCTTTGTATGTAATGGACAACAGAGATCCGCGATATAGTTTCTGCGGTTGATGGTTAATTTTATACGGTTGATGGTTATTTTTACGACGGCGACTACGACGACGAATACGAAGGCTCCTACGACGACAACAACAGCGAATTTGGAACTTACCATTTGACTAGCACATTTGCCCTGCACCTCCACTGGATCTTCATGTCCGATATCTGTCACTGTTTGCAAAAATATCCAATAACAATTGCCTTTGTCGTAATTCGTAATACTTCCTTTAAGGAATACAACTTTTCGTGCTATGCCATGGTCATCTGGGAGGAGGTTCGCGTCTGATGCTTTTGCAGGAACCGTTCGCGGCCACCAGCTACCACCCGTCTTGGGCGTATCCAGCGAAGCATCCTTCAGATTGCTCGCAATCTCCAACACCAACGAGAGACCAGCTGGTTCACGGCAACGTCGGCCACCGAATCACCACCAAAACTCGCGACGGACAGATGCTCAAAACTTTCCCGTTCTAAGTCACCCATGGTGTCGAGATTCTCGATAGAACTACACGCCGCAAGAGTGGCACCCGAACATGGAGAACCGGGCTCCCGGGAGGCAATCCACTATAGCACAATTTCATTAACACTTAAAACTCAATTACATCACAAACAATGATGATGTTTATTGCAAAAAAAAATCCAAATCCGCGGAAGAAAAGCAAGCGCGGTGTTCCGTCTCCGCCGAAAGTCAACTGATACGAACACGACCAACAAGCAGCGAAGAACGAGACCATCAATAGGCTACAACATCCACCAATCAGCGACGACCACATCAACGCTCGCCGCTTTAAAAGAGGCATGCATCACCGTGCAAAACAAGAGTTCTTTTCCGACCAAGCACCAGCAAACATCAGCAGCAGTAGAAGCAGAATTTGTAGAGAGAAAGAGGAGAGAATAAACAGTTGTTAGCGTAGCCGTCCCGATCAAGTTTATTTTGCACACATCCCTGGTTTGGAGCAGCGTCGAACCCACCAGCTCTTTTCAGAGCCCTTACGAGTTGATTTCCGATCGACGCTTGCTTCCTCCACCACCCTGCCGATACAGTCCACTACCAAAAGGGAAAGTTCCCTCCCAGTCCGAACATAATTTGGTCCATCCGAACCGGATCACGAGCCAAGAAGCTTTCGCCGTGAAAGTTTACGCATAGATGTTCCTGCCAACTGGA